AATTGTCATTCTTATATTCATGATTTTATTCTTTTGCCAATTTGAAAAGATTTAATTAATATTATTCACATTAATTATATTAACATTTATATAATTCATGTTAATATTTAATTAATATTATATATTAATATCGTTAATGAATTCAGGAAAATGATAACAATTTATAAAAACATACAATAATATAACTAATACTGCTAATTTATTGTCATTTTTATATTCATTACTTTATTCTTTTGCCCCAAAAAGATTTAATAATAGTGTTTAATCATAGTGTTTTTCATCAAATATGTTTTGTGGTCATAAGTCTACAAGTTTCAAATTTCCCGCCATGCGACTCACTGACAGCGGAAGTAAGCAGCCGTGCGGAAGTAAGTCAGTCGGAAGTAAGCAGCCGTGAGTCAGTTAGTGTATGTGATCAGTCAAGTAGTGAACGGTCAGTCCGTCAATGTGTCTGAAGTGGAAGCTCTGCTGTAAAGTGTGCATTGCGGTGAACTGTGGTGCAGTGGCTGAACAGTTGTTTGAAGTCTGCAGTGGAAGCTGACTTGTGAAGTAAACAGCAGTGCAGTGGACCCTGGTCTGCGCAGGGAATTGAGGAAAGCCAGTGGACTGTGGACAGTGCATTGGACTAAGTGATAGTGTAGATAAAGTGAACAGTGTTAATAAATAATCAAAAGAACAGAGTCGTATGTAAGGAATATAATAAAGTGTAATATATCTGTAAATGGATCAAGTAGTTTAAATGTAGAATTAATTATGAATAAACGTTTTTGTTAAATTATGTATATGTTTTATTTCACCATCTGCTATCTACTACAATTTTTACCACAATTAATTAAAATAATTGCCTATCCTTGGTTAATTTTTTTTCTTTATTTTGTATATTGTATAAATGTATGTGTATTGTAATTTTGTGTATTGTATTTGATAGTTTTCTTTTCTTTGTATTATCATATGTTTTGTATACTTAACATGATAAGACTTGTTTGTTGTCTTTGTTACTGTTTATAAATTGTTTACTATTACTTGTTTATAAATTCTGTTGTCTTTGTACCATATCTCAGATTTTGTTTTAATCACACGCTTGCTTGAACTGGATTCAATTGAAAGCAATTTCTCATTCAAGTGCATCTGCAGTATTTAGTAACTTATGTGAAAAAGAATAAAATGTAATTATTAATATTATTATTCATAAATTCTGGAATAGATCCCAATTTGCTGCCAGAGTGTAATGGAATTAATGATTTGCCTGATTGGTCGAAGTGCTACATAAACAATCTTGTGAACTTCCCTTTAATACCCATCCCATTTATTTCTTTAACATCATAGAGATATGTTCTATTGTGATTTAGTATTTAATTTTTTTTGGGGGGGGGGGGGAGTGAATGCATGTAAAGGAAACAACTCTCAAGAAAATTTAGTAAAGCCTTTAGTTGTGGAGGCAAGAATACAAATAAAAGATAGCATTCACTTTTTAGATGTTTTAATTGGTGAGAGTGACTATAAAGAATGTATGAAATAGGTATAGACATACTAGATCAAGGCATGCATTGAAATGCATAACAAGTGAAATACAAAAAAATTGAAACAATTGAGTTATAAGACCAAATTTTTGATTGTTGGGGTGTTATAATTATAAATACACTACCCTCTTCACTACAAAACTGCATGAGCCATTCGCTGTGAAACATCCACAAACTATTTGAACCTCCCCAGAAAAAATAATTTTTCTTTCTATTTACATTCATGGCATTTTCTTTTACCAAGTGTGAGATCAATTAAAGGCAAATGTTATGCGCTCTCTATTGCCAGCTGAGCGAACTGTGTAAGTGAGCCGAACGCCAATAGAGTGAACTACGTGTCACGAACCCTATGGCGGGAATCGCAGGGTGTTTGTCGATCGATACCTCTTCGTATCGCATGAAGATCGGATACCTCAACACAAATTTTGCAGCTTGAAAATTTTGTTTTGTTATCCGATTTTCATGCGACGCAAGGAGGTATCGCAGACCCCACCAACTTCAGCGCTATCTCTTGCCAGCTGAGCGAACTGTGTAAGTGAGCGAAACGCGGATAGAGGGAACTACCCACCAGCGGGAATCGCCTGACGCAAAGAGGTATCGCAGTTCACGCGACTTTAGCGCTCTCTCTTACCAGCTAAGCGAACACTTTAAGTGAACCGAATGCCAATAGAGTGAACTACATGTCACTCACTGGCGGGAATGGTCGAGGTGTTTCCGATACCTCTTCGTTTCGCATGAAGATCGGATATCCCATCATTAATTCTGAGGTTTGAAAACGTCTTGCGTCATTCGACTGGGACACCAAGCGGTATCCCAGTTCCGGCGCCTACGTGAAAACATACCTCCGGACTGCTCGGTGACGTTAGAAAATGTAGGGTCGCTTAAAATTAAAGTCTCTTTCTTAATAATTAATACCACTTACAAATGCTCAAAAAAAATATAACAGCAGATAAGAGTTTTTTCAAGATTACCTTGAAATACTTTAGTTCATTAAGATTTTAAATTAGCTGTAACTCATAAATTAAATTCCTTTACCCTTTTTATTTGATAGTTGTCTCCTGGTGTTTAAATTTTGCAGATGAAAGAAAAAAAGTAGTTTTTTTTTTTCTTTTTCATTAACAAATATATTAATTCCATTCCTCAAATTTCCTCCAAACAGAAATGTGCCCTTCTCTTATTTAAAGAAATTAGCACCTACAAGATTATCACCAAAAAAGGTTTAAAAAGCACATTAAATTTCTTGGGTAATTATTAAAGGCAGAATGGTTTATTTCTAATAATTAAATCCATTGGGAACTTAAAATGCATCTAATGTCTCTTATTAAATTTTTGCTGCAGCTTACCTGTTTCAAAATATCTTAAATTAGGATTAAATTACACTACAAAGCCATTCTAATTTTTGTGAAAAATTTTCATGTACGACTAACTTCTTCAAAAGTTCACTTTTTATAACAGAAAAATAAACAGCCATTTAATTAACCACAAATTGTTACTTTTCAAATTTAACTGCTGGCATCTAGCCTCAGAATAATGTATTTTAAATTCAAAAACCTGGAAAATTTAAACCAACTGATTAGGCAGAATAAGTTTTTTTAAATTCTCATGAGATATTTATGATACATAACCATTTTCTTCAAATGAACTATTAAGATAAAGAGCATATGAAAATCTAAGCACAGTAAAAACCCATTCTAATGTCCATGCACACATATAATGGAATTAAAACCACGAAGTCCATATAGGGGCCATGAGATATTGAAAATGAAATAAATTAATCACTACATTGTTGAACACAAAATTTATTATAAAAGAAAATGTACAGATACTTCAACAAAAGGCAAAAGTTTTATACAATCATTATTGTGTCTGGAAGTTCAGGCACATAGGCTTTTTACTAAAAATACACAGGCAGAAGGTATTTATTTTTACTTAATTAGGCATACAAAAAATGGCATTTATTCTAACTAAAGATAGGGTTCAAACAAGCATGTAAACAATGAAAAATGACTTTTTTTTAAAGACGGTAAGAGAAAAAAACTGCTGACGGATACCTTCAAGCTGTCTCCAAAGTTATGTGGGGATGCAAATGACTGCGACCCACAAAAAAACACCTCCCAATGACACTTCTTTCGTGACAGTGAAATACTGTTTCTTATTAGATACTGAGAATTCTAATGACACATCTGCAACTTCCGTTTCATTGCCTCCCCGCACTCTCTCAACATCATTCTGCTTCTTACAGTAATTATTCAGAAAACAGTTGATGTCCAGACTATCATCTTTACAACACTCCCTATTTCCTTTCACCTTTGCACATGAGTCATCTTCTAAAACTTGCACATTATCAATTGTTAAGGAAGCAGCTACAGTTCTTTGATTCTTTAAATTAAAAAATTCATTCTCCATTTCAGGGCACAACTTCTTTACTACAATATAATTAGTAGAAAGAACTGTAACTACATTTTCAGTAGAATAAGTAAGAGCTCCCCGATCCATTTTGCTTATTATACTGAAGTTTTCATTAAATGGAAGCTCCCTGTCAAAGGAGGAGTGTAGTTTTGCAATGGTCACATTTAAGCCTCTTGACAACTGAAAAAGCACAGTAGTACACAAATGAAGACCAATACAGGCAAACAATCCATTACATCTTCAAAATAGTTCAAAAACACCTCAACATAAATGCCATGATGATAATGAATTTTAGTTTCTGATGCCAATGATGTGTCATCTACAGGAATGTCCCCATATTTCTTTGAAGTCAAGTTTAACCTTAAATGTGACTGCAGCCTCAATTTTGCTTCACATTCATACAACTGTCTTTAAGAAAAATGATACTGGCTACCAGAAAGTGACCTGTACAAGCCGAATCTGCTTTGCAAATCATCTATCTAAAAAATTCCAGGAAAGATGTATTTAAAATTAAGCTCATGAACACAATATGAAACTATTTCCATCAGAGCATAAGTAGAATGTTTGAATGCAGAATGTGTTTCTCTGCTCAATTTACCACTACTGATTTGCTTCTTCTCCCAAGCATCCAACCAGTCAATGAATTTACTCAGGTACACATTTTACATCCCCAGAATCACTCGTGAATGGTATCAGAGAAATATTGCTCAAGTGTGTACCAGTAAATGGGCTCCGAACATTGCAATTTTGCAGTCTCTTCATAATGCAGCAAATTCTCTCTAGCACCCATTTCCTTTAACTTTCAATGATGTGCTTATTAAAAATCTGAAGAGCTAATTTTACATGGACTAAGGTTATATTTCAATAATAATAATAATATTTATTGACTAACATATACAATTACATTAGTGTATGACGAGTCAATATGATGTCTTGGGTGGAGAGAGCGAAGTTACATTACTGTTCCAGAGCAAACAAGGGACCAGGGAAAATTAACAAAACCTGATCGAGATGGGGTCATTGGCCTACAAATAATACTATAATACTTGTTACAGATAGATTAGGATATTATTCAGTAAATAATTATTTTTAGTAGCATATAATATATTTCACAATGTTATTTAAATGCTGCTATTTATTATAATAATAATATTAAAACAATACATATCAATTGTTTGCAAATACATAAAATGTAACAATATAATTAAATTCTATATTTAAAACTTGAAATGGTGAGGAAGAGGAGGCAAGTTAAGACGTGTTATTTTTGTTTCAATTTGTACACATATTTCTACTGCAGCACCTAATGCATCTGCAAATCCAGAGAGAAATAATTTCCCCCCCCCTTTTTTTTGTCAGCCATTCTCCTATTACTTCACAGGATGTGATATGTCAGTTCATTTTTCTTTGCTTCAGCTAAAAATGTTAACATGAAACAGGAAGTCTAATAGGATAGGATATTTTTATTTATTTACATTTTTTAATTATTTAATTAGAATACTCCTATACTCAGTAGAACATGTTAAGCAGAAAAGTTTTCAATTTACTTTTAAATGTATGAATTGTGTTTATGGCTTTAATATCATTGCCTAGTTTGTTGTAAATTTTAAGGCCCTCTATGAGGGTACTTTTTTGATAAAGAGTAGTTTCAGAGTGGGGAACATGTATATTATCCTTTTGACAGGTGTTGTAGTTGTGTACATCGAAATTTAAAGTTTTGTTGTCTTCCATGAGAATTTTCTTTGTGAAGACCACTATTTCAAATCTATACATGCATGGTAGAGGAAGAATCCTTAGTTTATTGAACAAGGGTCTGCAAGACTCCACCTTATGAGTGCTGGTCATTGTTCACAATATTCTTTTTGGATAATAAATGTGCGAGTGCTTTCAGAGGTATTTCCCAGAATATTATTCCATATTTTAGGTGTGAGTTCACATTTGCAAAATACATTGTTTGAAGCGTCTCAATGTTGGAGATTGACCTTACAGAGTATAAGGCATAGCAATATTTGGTGAGCATTTCATTTTAGGTTTTCTTGAATTGTTACACCGAGGAAGGTACTTTCATGAGATATTGTTACAGGGTTATTGTTTATGAGCAAATACTGTTGCAGTTTTTCTTTAGATCGGGGATTTGTGAAATTTACAGAGACTGTCTTGTTTGCATTTAAGATGAGTTTTGTGAGACTCTTTTTCTAATGATTGTTGTGTTTTTGCTTTGATGTTTGTTTGTGTCATCTGCAAACAAAATTATTTTGTTATTCCTTGAAGCCAAAGGCATGTCATTTATGTATATAAGGATTAGTATTGGCCCAAGGATGGATCCTCGCGGGACTCCACAATTTATCATTTGAGGGCAGGAATAGTATGAGGAAATTTTGTTTTCTTTACTGTGTTGGAAGGCAACTATTTGGTTATGGTTTGAAAAATATGATTTGATCCATTGGCCTGAAATGCCTCGAATCCCTAGCATTTCTAGTTTTCTTAAAAGTATGTGGCTTTTGACAAATCTAAGAAAAGGCCAAATGTAATTGCCTTCTGATTTATTGCAACAAGTATGTCAGTTCAAAAGGAGATGGCTGTGTTTGTGGATCTATTATTCCTGAAGCCATGTTGTGCATTTGTAGGGACATTATTTGCTTTGAGAAACTGTTTGAGTCATCACTGAAAATCCTTCCCAGTATTTTTTGAATCTCCTGATACCAGGGAGACAGGTTTGTAGTTCATTGGATCATAATTATTGCCCTTTCTGAACATTGGTCTAATTTTTGCCCTTTTGAATGTATGAGAGTGGATGCACTATACATGGAGCACTGTGTTCAGTAAGAAAATCTGGAATGTTGTCCATGCCTGCTGAGGATTTATTCTCAATTTGTCCAGGGTGGTTTCATATAAAAATATGGAATTTGCAATTTGTGTAATATTCATGTTTGGTTGGTGTGTTTTATTGTTTAGATAATGTTGAGAGATTAACTTATTACTAATTTGTGAAAAGTGTTCATTGAATATATCAGCTATTTCTTGTGGGTCTTGTAGTTTGGTTTTTGTGGTTTAGCTGTATATTTTTTCTGTAATTATTAGTTGGTGATGTAGTCTTTTATAATAATGTCCCACAAAGCTTTTGTTTTATTAGGTGCATTTGCAATGTACTTATCATTTGTCATAATATTCACTTGTTTGATTACTTTTTTTAGGATCAAATTATGTTTCATAATATGAAATGAAATTTGAGTTACACTTGTTATTTGTTAGTATTTTATACAAGTTGAGTTTTCTTTCACATGACACTTTGATGCCTGTGGTAATCCACCATTTAGTTTTCTTATTTTGGATCTTTTTGAGTTTTTGAGGGAAAATGGCACTGAAAGGTCTTAAGTATATATTAATGAATGAATTAAACTTATCATTTGCATCAGTTGCCTTATATTATTCATTCCAGTTTTCGAATCTGATTAAGTTTTGAAATTTTATTGTTTCCTTGGGAATAGTTATGGATTATTTGTATGTAGTCTGTTCTGCAGTTTTTGTTTCTGTTTGAAGTGTTAGAATCCGGCCAGTGTGGGCACTGAAACCTGTATTAAATGTAGCAACAGAAAAACAATGGTTATTTGCATCTATGATTTTTTGACCAATAGCAGTACTACTATTTCTAGATATTTGTGTTGGTGTATTTATGGTTGTTTGTAAATTGTATGATTTTAGTAGGTCTTTAAACAAATTTTCATTACTGAATTGTGTGAGGCAATATATATTGAAGTCACCGCAAAGAATAATTTTATACTGTCTGCGTTTTTAAAGTTTTGTTAGAATAACTTCCGGATTTTTTAAAAAGATTTTCAAATTCCCAGCAGGGCTGTGATATGTGCATATGACCTTTTTTATGGTTGTTAAGTCAGTAATGTATATTTCAAAGTCTTTCTCTTTTACAAGATGAGTGTGACTGGAATAGGATACAGAACTAACTGTACCTTTAATAAAAATGCATGTCCCACCATATGCATGGTGTGCATTGTTAATATTTCGAGATGAGCTGCTAACTAGAGTGAAACCTGGTATATGTGTGTTATCTAATTGTTGCCAGTGTTCTGCGAAGCACAATACTGAAATATGGTTGAGTTTTCTCCTCAAATAATATTTCTATATCAGTGAGTTTATTTTTCAGTGACTGCACGTTTTGGTGAAGAATGTGAAAATAGTTTGTTTTTTGTGTGCATTGTCTGCTTTCCTGTCGATGTTTGATGCTACAGGTTATACACAGGACTGGGTTTTGGGTTGCACCAGAAGTTATATGTACAAATGGGATGGGGAGTAGGAAGTGTGAGAGTAGGTGAAGGGGCTGAAGAGAAGAAAGGTGAGGAGGTGGTTGGAAGAAGTGATGAAGGAGTAGGAACTGGCGTAGGTAAAAGAGGACTCGGGGCAGGGGAGAGGTGTGGGAGTAGGAGAAGGAACTGGTGGGGGTAAGAGACGACTGGATGCTGGTGACAGGTGCTGAGTGTGTAACAAGGTTGTGGATGGAGAGGCGGAAGAATGGGTGGGAGATGGATGTGGGGTGGTAGGGGTTACCAGTTGGTGCGAGATGAGCATGGCTCCTAGTTTTTGTTTACGTATCTGGTTCATGTGGTGACCATGCTGAGTACAATGTTTTCTCGAGAGGTTGTCAACATCAACAAGTGTGACAGGTGCTGCCTTATATGATGACTTGCAATCTTAATTTCAAAGTTCAATTGTGTGTTTGTTTGGCAGTCTCTTGTATTTTTGTTAAATGTTCCTCTGCATGAAAGTGACTGTCAGAATTAATGTTGTTCTGCCCACCTATAATTACTACTGTGTCCTGTTGTGTAAAAGTTCTAGCCTGAGTGTTTAAGTTCTCAATTACACGTGCCATCATGTCATTAGGCTTAAAAATACCTGCAATTGAGAACTTTGGCAGGAGTTTCTCTCTCACAATGGAGGAAAGATTACTACCATGGCTGTCAGCTAGGATCAAAATTTTACATGAGTGAGAGAGTGCCATTTGTTGTTTTAGTCTTGTCTGCTGCACTGTGTTTCTGTTGAGATTTTGAGGGAGACTTTTCGTAAACATGTGCAAAATTGTTTCCTGGTTGTCATGGTAAGGTAGCTTTGGTGGGAGAAAGTGGAAAGGAGACAAGGTCAGAAAAGATCGAGAACCTGTTGAATGTGGGGGCGCAGTGTGGTGCCTGGGAGGTTCATAGGTAGCTAGAAATGTGTGGCTTTCTATTTTTCCTAGTTACGCGAGTCCACCCATCGGAGTTTTGAACGACCTGCTCCAGTCTACTGATCCCATTTTTAATGTAATTAATATGAACGCAGGCTTTCTTCAGGTTAGCGTTGAGTTGAGAAAGTGCAAAGTGTGCATGTTCCATATTCATGTTGTTGATTTGTGTGTAATACAAGTTTTTAAATACATATTTCTAAGAGTGTAGTTTAGTATTTTAGAGAGGGTAGCTTATAAAGTTTTTGTTTTAAGGTTACAATGTATTTGAGTGTACCGTACAAATATTCACAACACAATGTTGTACACTTCACTAAAAATTAAGCATGCACTGGTTACTTACCACACCTTGTAGCAACTAAATACTATAGAGGGGCTTGAAGTCTGCAATAAAGCAACTTAAATGCTTATACACAAAAAACTACTCTTCACACTCTCGTACTTAGCTATTATAGTAATAAAACACAAACATGCAAAGCAAAGATTGAGGTTAAGGTGGCATCCACGTGTGGGAGCTGTGCACTATGACTATACACACAATGCAAAATTTACTAAACTACTCGAAGTTAAATATTACTTTTATTCTCACTGATTAAGTATTATGAAAACTTCTGAATTGATTTGAACTCACAGGAATAACGGAATAGGTTTAAAATACTTAAATATACGGAGCGAAACGGCCACCATTTTGATTGGTTTTTTAAGTTGAGAGAATGAATAGTGGACTTGTGAAGTAAAATAATTTTTCTTGTTTCTCTTACAAAGCGGTATGCATTTGGGGCCAGACTAGAAAACAGTGAAGCAAAAATCGTTAAATCAGGAGTATCTTCTTGCATTCACCTTTGTATGAATTAACATTAATTGTTCAATCATAAAGGAGATATTTTCATGTTCTACTGTCCTTAAAATATATACATTTATTAAATTGTCATTATTGCTTTCCCTAACAGAACACTCCCAAGAATTTAATTTAGTCAATATTACATCAATTGCCCCAACATTTGTCACAGTAGGATGCACATTTTCATCCCTTGACCTCACTCACAGCCTTCAAAGAACACTTTCAAGTGTAAATTCAAATATATTAAAAGAGATGTAGTTATCCTAGGATAAGTTGCAAGAACAACTTTATAAAAAGTAATTCAATCACATTTTTGTAGTACCTTCCACTCACTGTTATTAAAAAAGAAGTTTGGATTTGAGTTCTTCAAACGAGGAGAAACTTCTGGTCTTTCCATATTCCTTATGTTCTTTAAAGCTGTCTGTAATGGCTTGATCTATTGCAGCACACACTCTGCTCATTCTCTTTTGCTCTGGATACACACTAAGTTATAGGGGGACCAGATAAATAGGAGGACAGATCAGGAAACTGCATAGGAACAGCTTCAGGAAGTAGTTGAGACACTTGTAATGGCATCTAGTATTGTGCCAGTCTACTTATCTAATGCTTGAGAGTGCATTTGAAAATCATTTTTGGAAAAATGTCTCTCGCTCACCTATAATGAAAATAAATAATGAGAGTAAATTAGATAGTTTATGAAAAGATATTAACATAAGTCACAGTTCAATATCTACACATTTTTCAGGGAACAAACAATGAATATAATGCTAAAACCTGCACACATATTTTTACAGGATTTTTGTTCTTTTTGAAACATTCCCCAAGAAAAGCATTTTGGAATTTCATATTCTATACACCATGTGCCACCACACTAATTTCAAAGCAATAACTTTTCGAAGCAGTAACTTAACATAAAAGAGTAATATAACCTATACATTTTCTTTAGTATTTCTCACTTTTGTATTTTTATTAGGCGAAAAGTTGTCTCTTAACAGCATTAAACCATTTCCGGTACAATTCTGGATGCTTTTCTTGGCTGGGAAATTAAAAAACTCTAACAGTTTTGTAATTCCCATTACACATAGGAACACAACATAAGAAAGGCATATTGCTCCTACAAAACATGTAATTTCAAATTATTTGAAATAAATTACAATATCATTTGGAGATTATTACACTAGCCTGATAAAACATACAAATAAATTAAATGAAATACATTACACTTCACCGGAATAGATCCCTGTAGTAGGTCACCAGTAGACAACTGCTCACTTCTTGTTGATACTTATTACCACCGCAAATAACACCACGAAGGGGTGTAACCAGGGCCCACCACCCCGTACGCACAACAGGAAACTACCATTATAATTGTAATATATTATATACCAATACAAATAAATTACTATGATGAGGCTCATAGGATGCTTGAGGTAACTCACTGACAGTCACGTTCACCGACGTTATTTATACATAAAAACATGGTCATACAGTAATTTATCAATGTGCAACAGAATTTACCTTTTCAAAATTCCACAGAATGAATTAAAATTAACCTCACACCGCATATGTATCCTTAAACGGCTTAAAAAACCACACTCGTGCAAATTCACAGTTTACAGCAGATCGCTTTTGCCATCGTAATGGCGGCGACAGCCCTCTTCAATTTTTCAATTAATATACTCTCTGAGAGTGGAACAGTGGCGCTCATGACACATCTAGCGTCTTCTTAAGATACTATATCTATGGGCGTAACTAAACAGCTGCCGCGGCAGAGGGTAAGGCGGGTAAGGATATACTCCTGAATTACATGTTCACTTTTTTCGCGAACTGTTACTTTAGCCCATTCTTATGAAAATCACCCTATACCATGGAAGGTCCATGCTTAACCACGAACATGGCCATCAATAACTATGGTTGAAAATCCTTTCACATCATGAACAGGATGAAATCGAATGAATTCGAATCAGTTCGAATTGGCCCAGTCGTGGTGTCAACATAACCAATACATTTTTATGTATTCGCCGTGGCAGAGCGTGCTACTTGACATATGACAGGAAACAACAGGCTTACCACACTAACAATTACACGATGTTTAACTTGTGAACTTCTCGTTTGTGCCAGAAAGTATTATCCAAGAATTATGCAGCATACGTAAGGATAAAATAGAGCTGTGAAACATTTCTTCGTGATTTCATATTGCCCTTCTGCTTGGAAGTATGGCTATTAATTTGGATATAAAAGTCAAGAGGGCTAATAAAGTATATCATGAAGGAGTAAGGAGCTACTATAGCTTTATATTTCATTTTCCATTGAACAATAATTTATTTACGCATTTATTTATTTATGATACATGTGTTACAAATACAAAATGTACTTTTCAGGAAAAAATTACAGGATTAATTTTAATACAATCTCCATCAGATATAAAACATGATGGTATTTCTTTAACGATGGAAGGTACTGTCAATTTACAACTTAGTGCAAAGAATGTTGGCATATTTGAAGCATTTTACAATTCTGTGAAGGTATATTTTTAATGAAATTGGGTACCAACTATTAGGAATTATTTTAATAAAATGTACGAATTAATAATTCAGAGTGTTCCCATTTTTCTTTTTCAGCCTATTCAGCTTGTTGGAATGACTTCAGAAGTTGCTCCTGCAGGAAAAATACCTAGTGGTAAAACAGAAATACCATTTGAATTTCCTCTTACTCCACGTGCAAACAAAATTCTTTACGAAACATATCATGGAGTGTTCGTTAACATTCAGTATCTGTTACGATGCGAAATGAAGAGAAGTTTTTTAGCAAAAGATCTTGTTAAAGTGGCTGAGTTTATTGTGGAGTATAAGGTAGTATTTGGGATATGACGAACTGAATACCTAATGAGAGATTGTTATTTGTGATGTAAGTTATATTTATAAGTAATATAGTGGCCATACATGTAATTAGATTTGTATTCTTTCTTTTTCATGACTTACACACAGCCATCTGGTTCTGAGAAAGCAACTCCACATCCTGTGAAATTCTCTATTACACCAGAATCTTTGCAGAATGTCAAGGATAAGAGTCGAATACCCAGGTTCTCAGTAACAGGTCATTTAGATTCAACAGTTTGTTGTATAACTAAACCATTTACTGGAGAGGTATGATTTTTTTTTTAGAATATAATTAGAAAAATGTGGGTAATCCAGTATATTACAAGAATAATTGTAAGCACATCTATTTTAATAACAATACAATGAATTGCATGGTAAAATTCAACTAATTTTCTAAACAAATTTCAGTTAGTTGTTGAAAGCTGTGAAGTTCCTATTAAATCTGTAGAATTACAATTAGTACGTGTTGAGACATGTGGCTGTGCTGAAGGTTATGCTAAAGATGGTAATAATACTGAGTTTTTTTGTATTATAGTGTTTATTTTTGTTAAGATAATTCATTAATTATTCTCTCTTTTTGTTGTTAGCTACGGAAATACAGAATATTCAAATAGGTGAAGGTAATGTACCCTGTGGAATTGCAATACCAATATACATGGTATTTCCTCGTTTATTTACATGCCCTACTCTCTCAACAAGTAACTTCAAAGTTGGTTAGTTTTCAAGTTTACATAATACTTTGTACACATGCAAGTAACTGAAATATTTCCATAGTGTATTATATTCCATTAACAAGGGAATCAAAAGATTTAAAACAAATAGTTTATGGCCTTCTGAGATTCATTTTATCAATCTGAATCGTTTTGAATTTCTCCATAAGGGAGAATTTTTTGTTGATCTTCCATTATTGTCTTTTCGCAGTTTCATGACATTGTCTTTCTATTACAGAATTTGAAGTTAACATTGTTATAATATTTCAAGATGATCATTTGATAACTGAGAATTTTCGAATAGTCCTGTCTCGATATTAAATGTTTTGGACTAGCTGAAGAAATGCGATTGTTTGTATCATAACTGGATATTGCACTATGTTGCAATTCATATAGACAATGCAAAGGTGCTCTTCAAATTTATGCCAAATATGTATTATTTGCTTTTCTTTATTGCATTCTATTATTTTGTGAAATGGAATCCATATTTCAACATTTTGTTGGTGGATAAATTAACTTCCATTGCATGTTCAAATTAAGGAAAATTGGAATTAAAAGAATATTGTGTATTTTGTTGACGATTCCACTGTGCTGTGTGGTTGTCTCAGAGCAAGGTATACTTTTTCTGAATATCTCTGCAAAATGGTGGTAAACTATCAAACATTAACTTCACAACAGAACCTACTGTGGGGAAAAATATTTTGTAAAACCGACATAGCATTCTCACTAATATTGTTCCTCTATCATTTATTTAAAGCAATTGAACTCATCCATTTCTGGATTTTGAACCTGCTATTTGTAGAATATATGAGAAAGAGACTTTTAAGTGCAAATTTGAATCTCGAAAAAAAGTCAAAATTGAAGCATGTGACTCTTTAAAAAATTGATGATGATTTTCAAAATTAAAAATTAAATATACTATGATAAAATTAAAGAAAGAAAAAATATGGGAGGCTGGTTGTTTTTCTAGGAAACAAATCTCTTGCTGATGTGATTAATGCCTTAAATACAGTCTGACAAATTATGTAGAACAATACAGACTTAAATTTCCTTCAAAAAATTTTCAAAATCTTTCAGATTACACTTAGGTCAAAAACTTAGAAGTATGGGTCATTGAGGAATTGTCACATGCAACTTAGATATTGAAGAACAGTTGTTTTTTTAACCTCCAATCTTCTGAGAATGTGAATGGAATGTCTCACATGTATGGCTCTGGAATTCTCTCACACTTTCCATGAGGCTTATGAACTTCATTACGTTATGATCAATATCACTTTTCCTCTTTCTGTTTTTCCCAATATTTTGAGCACTACCAATAATTTCTTTAGCATGTTACTTTTCTTTTTCTCCAAGACTGGAATGTGGGTAACACAATTCAAACCATCCTCTTCTGAATTGCATTCATATACACTTTCTTCAATTCTTGACTCCAATTCCTCTGAATCATTTAGTTTAATTTTTTTCCTTTACTGTTCTTGATATTAAAGAAAACACAGGCCTGATCATCTTTATGAACCCTTTCATAAAATCCATGTGCAGAACATTATATTTATACACCATTACTTTTATTCAGAAAGTGAACCAATAACTACAAAACCATAGAAACTGAAGCAGTAGACTGGAAAGAAGAATATCCATTTTAGTACCTCAGCAAAACTTTTGCTCAGTTAAACTATCCGAAAGCTCTCTTTTTGTTACTTGGCAAATTAAAAAAGCAGACTCCAAGAAAATATGCCAGATGATGGAATTATCAAATACAAGAATGAAGCAATATAATAAAAAAATGCTATGGGATATAAAAAACAATATTAACATGACAAACTGCAAAATAGACATGATATCAGACTGGACTCGGGAAAGAAGAAGAACAAGGAATGCCCTCATAGACAAAATGGAAGAAGATAATGATGAACGTGACAAGAGACAGATGTCCAGAAGGAAGAAGGGCGGTACGACTTAGAACAAGATGGAAAGTCTGTGAAAGTGTGACAGTGTGAACAATGTAAAATGTGAAGTTATGAAAGTGATTATATGAAATGTCAGTTGTTTTAAAACAAATTTCCTTTGCATAAAAATAGTCTACAGCTTTAAATAAAAGAAAGAAGAAAACAGATCAAAAACCTAAAGAATACTGAAAAAATGTGTTAGCTCTTGGCATGTCTTAAAGAAAATGACCTTCATTGGAAATATCTGATATAGGTGTTGAAATTCTTACTATCTTTTCAAGTATTACTTTATATCATGCATGGTTTGAATAAAATGTATAAATAGGGAATTAAATGTGTGTAAATACCTAGAGAGGGTGCATTTTTAATGAATTTGTTATATAATCCAGGTCCTTTCTGTTGTGACTAGTATTTTGCTAATGCATTTGAAGTTTATATAATTCTGTTTGTATATATGTTTTATACTCTATTAAAAAACACTAAGAACTATGTCACAGAATTTAAGTCAATATAATTTACTTGTGCCCTCTCACTTCCATTGTTCAACTGAATTTGTCCCTTCACCTTCAATAGCATCTTCACTTTTGTTTCTCCCATTGCTGACCATATTGCTAGAGTTATATCAGATAATATAATGCTCATGATTATATCAGACAGTAAATCATTCCCCAAATTTAGCAAATCCTGACAAGACCTCAGCAACTGAGGGATATGACTATTTAGACTGTAGATAATGATATCTTTCTTGGTCCTCCTGACAATGATATGTACAAATGATACAGTACATTGCAAATGCACTGTACACTATACAAGTGTATAGTGACAAATTATAAGTACATTGCAAATGCACCTAATAAAACAAAAGCTATGTGGGACATTATTATAAAAGACTACATCACCAACTAATAATAATAAAAAAAATATAGAGCTCCACTACAAAAAACTGTACAAAACCCACAAGAAATAGCTGATATATTCAATGAACACTATTCACAAATTAGTAAAAAGTTAATCATTCAATACTATCTAAACAATAAAACACACCAACCAAACACGAATATTACACAAATTGTAAATTCCATATTTTTATATGAAACCACCCTGGACAAATTGAGAATAAATCCGCAGCAGGCATGGACAACATTCCAGATTTTCTTATTAAACACAGTGCTCCATGTATAGTGCAACCACTCTCTCACATCTGCAATTACTCTCTCAAATCAGGCATATTCCCAGAAACATTCAAAAGGGCAAAAATTAGACCAATGTTTAAAAAGGGCAATGGATCTAATGAACTACAAACCTGTATCCCTGTTACCAGGAATTTCAAAAATTCTGGAAAGGCTTTTCAGTGATAGACTCAAACAGTTTGTCATTGTAAAGAATGTCCTTACAAATGCACAACATGGCTTCAGGATCCACAGACGCAACCATCTCCTTTTGAAATGACATACTTGTTGCACTAAGTCAGAAGGAAATTCCATTTGGCCTTTTCTTAGATTTGTCGAAAGCCACATACTTTTAAGAAAACTAGAAATGCTAGGGATTTGAGGCATTTCAGGCCAATGGATCAAATCATATTTATCAAACCATAGCCAAATAGTTGCCCTCCAACACAGTAAAGAAAACCAAATCTCCTCATACTATTCCTGCCCTCAAATCATAAATTGTGGAGTCCCGCGAGGATCCATCCTTGGGCCAATACTAATCCTTATATACATAAATGACATACCTTTGGCTTTAAGGAATAACAAAATAATTTTATTTGCAGATGATACAAACATAATCATCAAAGCAAAACACAATAATCATTAGAAAAAGAAACTCACAAAACTCATCATAAACACAAACAAAACAGTCTTTCTAAATTTCACGAATCCTCGATCTAAAGAAAAACTCTCACAGGATTTGCTCATAAACAATAACCCTCTCATGAATGATACCTCATGATATCTCATGAAACTATCTTCCTCAGTCTAACAATTCAAGAAAACCTAAAATGGAATGCTCACCAAATATTGCTATGCCTTATACTCTGTAAGGTCAAGCTCCAACATTGAGATGCTTCAAACAATGTATTATGCAAATGTGCACTCACACCTAAAATATGGAATAATATTCTGGGAAATACCTCTGAAAGCACTCGCACATTTATTATCCAAAAAGAATATTGCGAACAATGACCAACACTCATAAGGTGGAGCCTTGCAAATCCTTGTTCAATAAACTAAGGATTCTTCCTCTAACATGCTTGTATATATTTGAAATAGTGGTTTTCACAAAGAAAATTCTAATGGAAGACAACAACATTTTAAATTTCGATGTACACAACTACAACACCCATCAGAAGGATAATATACATGTTCCCCACTCTGAAACTACACTTTATCAAAAAAGTACTCTAATAGAGGGAATTAAAATTTACAACAAATTAGGCAATGATATTAAAGACATAAACACAATTCATACACTTTAAGGTAAATTGAAAGCTTTCCTGCTTTACATCATGTTCTACAGTGGGAGAGAGTATTCAAAGTACAACATCTCACTGAAAAAATATATGCCTGACAAAAAAAATTCTGTTTCTTTCTGGATTCTCTAGACACATTAGGTGCTGCATTAGGACAACGTGTAAAAATTGAAATAGAAAAAAGAAAAAAACTGGTCATAACTTGCCAACTCCTCCTTACCATTTCAAGTTTTAAATATAGAATGTACTAATGTTGTTAAATTTTATAATATAATATAATATAATATTGCTAACAGAATTGATATTATTATTATTATTATTATTATTATTATTATTATTATTATTATTATTATTATTATTGTCATCATCATCCGTTACCCATTTTTTGTACCTATGATTGCCTTTGGTTTGTCCCAAATCCCAAAACACAATTAAGTCACTCCTACTGTCAAAAGTCATGAAATAGTACTGATAACTGCAGGAATTTAGCAAACTTTCGAGTTCTAGTTATATCTAGACATCGGAGGTTTAGGAAAATGCACAAACATTCTGATGATCTTTTTTTGTGTGTGTTTTATGGGGTAAATGCCTTTTTCGACACATTTTCTTTTTAAGTGTTTTTTTTTCTTACAATTTATTTATATTTATTTGTAGTCTTGATTTCCAATACACGTTTAAATTATTTTCAGTTCTTCTAATCACATTAGTTGTCTTCTGGTAGCAAGTCTCCATTTTTACTTTCCGTATATGTACGTATATAGGGAGTAATATACGTAGTAGAGTAAAAGTTATGTAATGCTGCGAAGAATCAATTTCGAGATTTCAATGGAAATTCGCGTTTTGGGGCCCCCAGATACCAAAAAAGCTCGTCCGTCCGTCTGTCTGCTGTCTGTGAACACTGTTAGCGCCTAAACCATGCGCAGGATATTTTCCAAATTGAAGAAACACTTGTCCATCTGACTCGAAATGTACTTTGAAATTTTGACATTCTTCAAAATTTGGAAGCACTTTACACGAAGCCCTCCGGACATTTTCAAAATTTTCTCAAAAAAAAAAAAAGTTTTTTTTTCTTTAAAGAATCTTTCTTTCTTGTAAGAATAGACTAACATACTTATGAACGTTGCATAGGTCCGATTTTCTCGGTACATTCTGAATTTTAGAAAATTTTACCAGTATGAATTTTTTTCGGTATCTTTCTACAATTCCAAAATTAAAGATAAAGATTTTCCCTTCTCATAAAACTTGTTCTCCATTGTGAGTTCTTTCATTAAGGCCATGTATTATTTTTTGAAAATTTTAGTTGTGTTCGGGCAATATAGCATGCAATTTGTGCAGTTTAAAAAATTACAAAAATGTTTTCTCATAATTGGCAAATTTTTTGTTTAAATTTTTGTTAGGGTTAATGTTAAATGTACTCTATAAGATGACAAACGCCACAATGCTCTATTCTTTAGTTTTTTTAAAAACAAAATGTAAAGATCGGTCAAAAAATGTATTTTTTTAACTGGTCTTTCACATCGTTGATATTTACATTAGCGTCAACTTATTCACATTATTATATTTATGAGTACATACGCTTTATATAAGGTCAGATAAAGTTTCTCGAAAACTGAACTAGTGCTTTTTTAGGTCCCTGAAACGTAAATTTTTAGAGTATTTCTCGTTTATTATACACATATGGTACATGGTACTCAAATTTCAAAATATTAAACTAAATTCAAGCTAAATTCGTTC